CCTAAAAAGAGAAAAATTGGCTCTAAAACTTTTGATTGTATGTTTATTGGATATGCTGAACAAAGTGCAGCGTATCATTTTTTAGTTTTAAAAAGTGATGTTTTAGACCAAAACGCAATTGTTGAGACTAAGGATGCTGAATTTTTTGAACATATTTTTCCCTTGAAAATTAAGCATGTTTCTAAACCTGTTGAGAATTTAGAGTTTGAACAAAATTTAAATGAGGATTTGGTTTTAAGGAGAAGTAAAAGACAAAGGAAAGAAACAAGTTTTGGAGATGATTTTTATACTTATTTAGTACAAGATGAACCGTTAAATTTTTATGAAATTATTTCTTCTCCTGATGCTAAATTTTGGAAAGAAGCAATTGAAATTGAAATTGATTCTTTAAGGAAAAATAAAACTTGAGTTTTATCAAATTTGCCCCAAGGAGCTAAGGCTATTGAGTGTAAATGGATTTTTAAGAAAAAATATTTTCCAAACGGTTCAATTGATAAGTATAAAGCAAGGCTTGTGGCCAAAGGTTTTACTCAAAAAGAAAATATAGATTATTTTGACACATTTTCTCCTGTGACTAGAATCTCTTCTATAAGAGTTCTTATTACTTTGGCTTCAATTTACAAACTTTTTGTTCACCAAATGGATGTTAAAATGCTTTTTTAAATGGCGATTTGGAAGAAAAAATATACATGATACAGCTTGAAGGATGTGTGATTCCTGGGCAAGAAAATAAGGTTTGTAAACTTGTGAAGTCTTTATATGGCTTAAAACAAGCGCCTAAGCAATGGCATGAGAAACTTGATCAAGTTTTGACAACTGGTGGATTTTCTACTATTGAAGTAGAAAGATGTGTTTATACAAAGTTTGTAAATAATGATTGTGTGATTATATGCTTGTATGTGGATGATATGCTAATTTTTGGCTCCAGTATGTGTGTTGTTAATGAAACAAAAAAATTTTCTTTCTTCAAATTTTGACATGAAAGATATGGGTGAAGCCAAGGTAATCTTGGGTGTAAAAATCATAAGAAATGAAAATGGAATCTTGCTTTCCCAAGAACATTATGTTGAGAAAATTCTCAAAAAGTTTGGACATCTTGAAGATGCTCCTTTGAGTACTCCTTATGATTCGAGTGTGCAATTAAAAAAGTACAAGAGTAACCCAGTTGCTCAATCTGAGTATGCACAGATTATTGGGAGTCTGTTGCATTTGATAAACTTTACTAGGCCTGATATAACTTATGCTGTAGGCAGATTGAGTAGATATACTCACTGTCCAGGTAGTAAACACTGGGAGGCTCTGGTGAGAGTCTTGAAATATTTGAGAGGTACCATGAATTATGGTATATTGTATAGTGGATTTCCCACTATATTGGAAGGATACAGTGATGCTAACTGGATTTTGGATTCAGAAGAGACAAAATCCACTAGTGGTTATATATTCACTCTTGATGGTGGTGCAATAACCTGGAAGTCTGCAAAACAAACGATCAACACAAAATTCTCAAGGGATTCTGAGTTCATTGCAATGGAGCTGGCTGGGGCTGAAGCTGAGTGGTCGAAAAACTTCTTAGCAAGTATTCCAATAGGTGAAAACCCACACCATCAGTGTCTTTACATTGTGATAGCCAGTCTGCAATAGTAACGGCTAAAAATAAGACCTTCAATGGCAAAAGCATACATATTCAATTGAGACATAATATTATAAAGCAGCTGCTTAAAGACGGGGTCATCTCAATCGATTATGTGAGATCAGAATTAAATCTGGCGGATTTGTTAACTAAATCCCTAGGGAAGAAATTTATTATTGAAACGTCGAGAGGAATGGGACTTGAGCCTATTTGAAATTAACGGTGATGGCAACCCAACCTTTGTGATTGAAGATCCCATGAAGAAGGTTCAATGGGTAAGAACAAGTCACTTGTTAGTTCTGCTAGCACTGAATTTTGTCCCTTCCTATGGCTTGAGAAAGTGCTAGAATGCATTGAACGGAGGCTGAGCGATAGCTCTTAATGTTTTCATAGTCCTTACGGATGGTGTATTCATTACAGATATACTGGATAAAAACACCTATACAAATGTGGAGTGAGGCCACTCCTATGAGATCGTGGCAAAATCTCTAGAGCATTTGTTAAAACTAGGTGAGCGCATGGCCGATAACGTGCAAAACCGTCGTTAACAGCAGAGACTGTGGGGGTATAATTCGATTAATAAGACCTCTAGCACATGCTCAAGATCTGTTGGTTCAATAACGAAGTTACACCGACTTTTCTATATGCTAAGTTTTATTAGTCCAAGTTTGGTTCAAGTCGACAGACACCAAATTCAAAGTGATTATCCTCTGTGTGAATAACTCAGACGAACATAGGTCTTTTTGACACATGTGGGGGATTGTTGTATGTGTGTCAAAATTGTGTGTGTGTCAAAGTCCCACATTGATTAAAAGAAAGACTCTCCTAGTGTATATATACTAAGGAATGAAATGGGCTAGTAAAATGAGCTTGGAAGAGAAGTGGCCTCGCGCACATGAGACAGGCCAACTCAGGGCAATCGCAGTTGAAATCAGCCGATTCGCCCCCTCTGCGCGCGAGTTCAAGAGGTAGTGGGTTCCTTTTACCGGATTATTTTTACAAATAAATAATTATTTTGGCTTAGAGTTTGAAGTCAAACCAAGAATGTTTTTTTGATCATTAAACAAATTAATTTTTTCTAAACGTTTGTCTTCCCAACGTTTCCAGACAGGAGGTTGAATGCGTTTTACAAACGTTTGTGTAACCCCAACGTTTCCAGATAAGCTTTTAAACAATTTTTATGAGACTGTAACCGAGCTTTTAAACCGATGGTAACCCCCCCAGCGTTCATGTCCACCTTCGGGCTATATATAGCCATGGGTGCAGACAGAGTGATACACAAGCCTCTTGAGTTCTCGCGGTACTCTCTTTCTCCCTCTGTGAATCTGTCTGTGTTCGTCTGTGCTTGCGTTTGGTCTCCGTTGTTCTGTTCCCTCGTTCCACTGAGGAGGTGCTTGTTTAATCCTGGGGAACTGCCGGCCGTCGGACGGTGCGCCGGAATAGTTCTTAAGGACAGTGTCCTTCCGGGCACGACTCAAGCAACCAATCAGGTGTCGCTGTGCATGTCTGCCGCCGATGTAGTCAACATATTTAAATTTGCACTGCCTTATTTTTCTTTCTCTCTTCCAATTTGGTGTGTATGTCATGAGCACCACATCATGAAGCCTCACAAATAGATTGAGGTTCTCTCATCTAAAAAATTAGTATTTTGAAATAGACTCTCCTTTTAAAGGATCCTAAATGGCAAGAAACTATGCAAATGGAGTGAGATTTATAAGTGTATAGAGATCTCTCGCCCATGCTCATTATTTAGTGTGTGTCTGTGTGAGAGAGATAGATAGAGATGCATACCTGCACTAGTATGGGAGGACAACATGAAAAGAGAGATGACGACAATAAGAATGAACCGCAGAAAATGGTAGACAGTAGTAGAGACACCCATTGTTCTCTAATGCTAATGCTATAGTTGTCTGTGTTTTGTTTTATATAATTGGGGTGCGGATTTATAGATTTATTTTTTGAGAAAAATATACTTGGACTTGATTATTCAATCAGTCCACACACATACCTCGTCAAAGAATTTTTAAAAAAATTAATTTAGTTCCTATGATTTTGATTCAGTCTTAAGAAATTAGAAAGCTTGGAAATTCGACACGGCTTTAATAATTAATTACTCATAAACTTCAACAAATTCACAACCAAGGTTTTGATTTATGCAAGTACACCTTTAAATTGTTAATGAAACCGCGTCCGTGATGTAGTCATCACCAAATTTAAAACAATTGTCAATATAATAATAATATATAGTTTACTTGAAGCCGCATTATTTATGATTTTACTTGGCGAGAAACTAACGTATTTTTGAAGTTATTAAAATCATGGATCCCATCCTTTATCAATCATTTGCCTTTATTCCCACGAATCAGATGGAGAAATTTGAATTGTCTAAAATAATATTTTGATTGATAGATTTAAATTTAAATTTTAAATTCAATATCTTATACTTAAAATCTCACATTTAAGATTCACGTATTTAAAATATTTTATTTGAATAATGTAAAAAAAAAATTAGAGTTAAAACAGAGACAAAATAAGATTGGAAGCAGACATCGACAATTAAAATGTGAAAAAAAAAAATGATAATAGAAGTGACTAAAATTTCAAATAACTAGAGCTAAAAAAAATTTAAAATTATAAATAAGTTAATAAAACATGAATTTAAATATACTTTTACGTATTTAAGAATTTGATTCAAATGTAAATAATTATATATCCAAACACAGTAGAATTTCCGTTTCGCTATATATCGTTAACAGAATCAAAAACAAATAAACAGCCTGATCCATTGAAATACTTTGATCCACTAGCTTTGTTCACTTTTTTTATTGATTAAATTTACCATTAAACTCAAATGGTCAATACCAAACGTATTTTTCGTATACCTATTTCCATTTTATTCTTGTCTCCATTTCATAAAAACTCTTCTTTTCTAAAGCATAGCCTTAATTTTTAAATTCATACCCCTTCGATCCTATTTATGAGTTACTTTCAACATATTTCACCAGAGTCAAGAAAAATTTTAAAACTCATTAACTGTCTTAAAATTTAATAAATTTTTAACTTTGCCCCTATTAAATATACATACTTCAATAACAATTTTCTCTCTCCAATATTTAATGAAGGGTAAAAAAAATTGTGATTAAAATTTAATAACATAATTTATAAATAGGACTAAAAATTATCTTCTCTCTGCCCTATAAATAAGACCAAAGGGAGTAGATCAGATGCCATTTATTTAAAAGAGATTTTAAAATGTTTCATTGATTTGACGTTTAATAATATTAAATAATCAAGAAAAATGAAAGATCTCAAACAAACATTAATATATTAATTCGAATAATAAGAATTGCATTTGTGGTGGATAGTCAAATTAAATATTAAATTATATATATTTAATTATGTGTGTAGACATTTGTTAAAAATAAATATATTAATCAAAGAATTACCCGAAGCTGTTCAAAGAGTTAAGACAGGCCCCTTTACTAATATGAGCTTCTTTCCAATGGATAAGCTCAGTCTAGAGAGAAACCAGGATATGGATTTCATTTTCTGGGGTAAGAATAAGACTTACACTACAAGGACTAGCGTATGGTTGAGGAGGCTGATCTGTTGTGGAAGTAGGGAATGGGCTTCAAAGTCAGCCCATTTTCCCTTTTTCAAATCTGCAAAACCAGGCCCATAATGTGACAACTTTTAAGACTAAAATTGTCCTCAAAAATTCAGAGAGAACGACACTCATCATTTACCACTTCAAAGTGGTCAAAGTTAGTAAGCTTCAGTGTCGAAGTTTTTCAGGAAAAACAGAAAGGATATAGAAATTTTACTTTAATAATTCAGAGAATATTCCAAGAATATTGCTCCTTCAATTGCTCATCATATGTATATGATGAATCTAAACCCAAAAAATAAAGTATGGCAAGAGGCCAACCTGAATCAACTTTGATTAAATTGCATGTGGGTAGATGGCCAATAAAACTCTCGGAGAGGATTGAAAAGAGAAACCCATTCCCCACTCTTAAAAGACAAGAGATAATGATCAATGCACAGAGATGGAGAGGATTGACAGTTGTTTTTGAAAAACTGCAAAAACAGCTAGCCCATACGTTTTTTTTTTTTTTTCTGGGTGAAAAAGCCTATACATTTTTCACATAACGTTCTATCATCTGTGTAAGAATAACAACGATCTAAAACCCTGGAACTCAGTTTCTATTATGCTGAGACTACACTCAGAATATCAAAGTATTTGTCAGGAAAATGACAATGATTAAGAACCTATGTGCGTGTCTCTACTGCTAATAATGCATTATTTGTAAGTAATTTATATTGGGTGTAGGCGTGTAGCAGGCTCAAATGAGCAGAGCACCAACACATTTTCTTCTTCATGAGGTCGAAGAATTAACATGCGACTTAGGTAAGAGTAAGACAAGGAAGCAAAATGAGTTTTTGAGGGAGATATACAAAATTTACTATACTCAATATGTTTCAAATCGAGATGTCAAAGATACTTTGTGTTCTCAAGTTTGAGGGTCTTGGCATAGACCTTTGATAAAACATTTTTTCTAGGATCAATAGGGCCATGGCAAGGTCAACCAAACATATTTTCCAAATTCAGAGATTAACCGCTACCTTTGTATATATGTACATAAGGTATAGTAACTAATTACACTGTTATATCTTTGCCAATATTTAATATACTAGCATAGAGGAGAACCACATTTCATTTGGTTGAAGCTAAAAGTCAGCAGTCAGTACCTTCTGCCAGCTTCCAGTAATTCAATGCGCACATTTAAATCTTCTGAGCTACTTGCATTCGCAGATTTAAGTTGTGGTTGCAGCATGGGAAGACAGTCCTCCGTGGAACTACCTTCTGTTCTACCCAACATTTCAAAATAGGCATGAGGTGCCCAACCTGCATGTTTGGAAATATGCAGTAACCCGGTGGCAGTGAGAGATCAAGAACCATGATATTTACTATAGGATTCACCCGTTTAAGCCCCAAGACGAAACGTAAATTATTGACAAAACTATAAGCCCAATATGATATGGGAAGATGATTTTTTTTTTTTCCTCAGCTTCTTAATTTGTTGACTTTGAGAGGCTGATCGTTTATAAATCTTCTAAAAAACATCCCCAAAGTTTAAAAAGCAGGCATGAATGCAACACGCACACACACTATCATGCACAATACTTGAGATCCTCAAGAGAGATCAAAACAAAAATGAATTATCACTACGAAATTAACACCTTGATACTGGAGCTACATATTTCAATTGTAAATTATCCTGACGGGTCCCAACCCACTGGGGCCACCAAAACTTACAACATGAGACATAAAGGAGGTAGAGAGCACAAGAAATGGGGAACTACTGGTCCACAAGGAGGTCCAAAGGTTAAGAACCAAAGAAGCAAAAGAAAGGAGGTAAGGGGAAACAGTTAAGACAATAAGTGACAGGGGTATATAAAGGAAAAGCTCAGAAATGAGTGAGGAGGAGAATAATTTCGGTCAGGTTTTGGTGTATAGAGCCAACCTTTTCTATTCTTTAAGGTTCTAGTTTTGTATTTTTCTGTGCTTGTTGCATTTCTGTCTAGCACGTCTAGCAAGGTACCTGAGTCCTTTTTGTTATGAGAGATTCCAGGGGATATATTCACTTACAGTGGGTGTGTCATAAGCTCTTTTGCAGAACATGTTTCCACATTAATATAATAACTCAGCCGTTTCACCGTCCTTTCCATATATGTTGTGTTGATAGAAGGTTCCTATCAGAGCCTCTATGCAACACTTTTTATTTCATTTTTAACATGCAAAAACCTACCCATCACTGTTCCCAGTTTCAAGATAGAACTTCAGCAAATTCCAGTGGTACAAGACGGGTAGAACTATTGGGGCAGACACTTGAGGATGACCTTTAAGAATGAGCTAACCAAGTCAAACACTATCACTTCCAAAATCACAGAAGTGGACCTTCTGCGGTAAATACAGCCTAGCAGGCAACAAATTTTACAATAATGAAACTAATTCACATGTGAGCTATACAAAGTAGTCAGAAAGAAAAAATGCATACCTGATTGATGAGGTAAAGGAAAGAGTAGCAAGTAGCAGGTTGAAGACACAGTAATCCCTGCAGGGGGAAAAAAAAAGATGGGGTCCAAGTCAAATCCCCCTACCCTTGAAATTGCTTAGGTATTTATTTTACATTAATAATTCTTTAATAGCCACTGAATTTTGATCCATTGCAGCTACCAACCTAGTAGTCCTCCAGCAAACACATCCTGCCAATGATGCCTGTAGTCGTCAACCCGGGAAACTGCCACAAAAGCAGCAAGAAGTAAAGGAAGCAAAACAAGACACAATTTGCCAATATGACCCCTGCGATCAAACACTTGGATTTTTCCTGATAAATACCAGGCAAAAAAACTGAAACCGGCAAAGGCCCCTGCAATTTGGATGACCATAATTAATTAAAGCACAAATGTTCCCATATTTATTTAAATTTGAAGTACCAAATTTCATAAAAGCACACTACTTCATCAGAATAAAACTCTCCATTTCCATCTGTAAATCTTATGATAAACCAGATGCTAGGTTTTTTTCCCTATATCTGCACAAAGCACACTCTAGACTGAAATTGGTGGTACGTTCATTAAATGGAGAAATGTTTCTTCTGGCAAGAGATTCTGAAATTGAGTTTAAAATGATACTTTGGAACGGGAGACATGTGTAATAACTAGACTCAAATTGTATGGTTTGGGAAATACATGTGTCTAAAAGAAGTTTGCTCAGATTATCAGTATTTAAGAAGACTGCTGCAGCTAGAGAACAATATCTTCTTGTCTTGGCATTGTATAAGAAATAGTAGATTTCATTTCCAGCACAATTTTCTCCTTTTCTCTTCGGTGAACTTGAAAAACAATTGCTGGAAACAATTAACAAGTGTCTGATCCTTTTGGTTGGTTGCATTGCTAAGTGGATCACAACCAATCCACCATGTCCTCTGTTCAGTCATGGTACAAATGGCTTCAATCCTTGACGACATATGGTTGGGTACATTTTGTTACTAAGCAAGGACATCTTTGAAATAACGTATATAAAAAAGACCCAGATGATTGACCAATTCAACAAGATAAAGGTGAGTCACAACAAGAGGATGAGACCTATGCCAAATGTATGCTTTTACATGAAGCCATCCTTAACTAGCAGAAGAGGTACTTCATGAATACCCAACAATAGGAAATAGATAATTTACTTACATGAAGTGTGTCCACTTGGAAAACTTTTGTATCCTTCCTTTATGATCTTCTCATCCCCATGACAAACTACATCATTTGTGATGGCATCAAATACCTGCATCAACCAATGCCAGACACTCCTTTAGGTAGTACCACTAAAACAACTAAAATTGCCATAGTAAACAAGAGCAAGAAGGGAAAAGAAAAGATTTCTCAAGCCCACTTCCCCTTTCCTCCTCATATCATGTACCCTTTAGAAGGAAGAGGAGGGAATATAGAGCTTGGACAAGGAAGAAAAGATCTTGAAAATGAATATGAGGACACACCGCTTTACCATCAGGGAAACATCGCCAAAAGAAGTTCGGTCTTGGTCGACCAACAGCAAGTTTAATTAAATCTGTGATAACTGCTGTTATAAGTCCAGAGAAAAGAATACCTGCAAGTTCCAAGGAGTTCATGCAAGTAAGATACCATGATCCATGGGCAGGGGAAAAAAGTAAACCAGCCACCAAGTCAATGTAACGGAAAATACCCAATATTGAATGGTGCAAGTCATAAACATTTCTGTTGCGAATGTAGAACATAAAAAAGAAGGCAATAGGAAACAATATGGCAACAATCTGTTTCAGAAAACATGAAAAAGGTTAAGGTTGTGCATTTACAATATCAACATGGCTATAATAGCAAATTAGCAGCGAAATCTGCATTCACAGTACAACAATAAACATACTTGAACAATCCGAAAGGGTATGGTTTCATCTTTGTATGGGTATTTGAAATCTGTCATCATGCCTTCTCCCACAAAGCGGTGAAAAGGTTCTAATGAATCCAAGAACAAGTCAATAACCACTAGAATCAGAAGTACTAGCCAATCAAATTTATGTGTCCTTGCCACCCTCCCTCCATGTGACTTTATAGTGTAGCTTCCCATCATAAAATCTGGAACTTTACAAAGTAAGTTACAAAAGGAAAGGTTCTGTCACTTTTTTCATAACAGATGGTTAAAAAAAGCACAATTAGAACTTAGAAATTTAGAGGAAAATGACAAGCAAAACAACCAAACCGATATCCCTAGACAAAAAGTAGCAAATTCATGAGTAACATATGTAGATAATTGATGTACGACTTTTGGGAAAACAGACTCAGATGAACAATCTAATCACAATTACTGAGTGAGTTTTTCTTTTCAACAGATTCCCAGTTCTCTGTATGTATGAGATCTGTGCTATAGCTCAATACAGACCAATATTTATATGTAAAAGGGAAGGAAACCGAGGTTCAGGTTACATTAGCAAGGGACAAGCATTCCAAGTAACAAGCACGTGCACAGAACAAGATAAAATTTCCAACTCAGTCAATTACTTTTGTTTCCTAACAGATATTTGACGCAGCTTGCCAGTGATCCAGGTTTTCTGATTTTCTAACATCCTCCATGAAAATTTTTAGTAACTTTCCCATGCCTTCAAATAATTAGACAACTCTCAACAAAATCTTGCTGAGATTATCATTGATGAGCTGTGAGGCAATAAATAATAAAATTTCATCTTGCAATTAAGTTTTTAACTAACTAATACCCTATTTACAGTATACGAGTCTAACGTAGATGAGGCACAGGGAAACATCAAGCGCTTGATATCTGTCCCAGCCAGTATAGCCATCCTTCCCAATATGGACTAGAGACATGAAATGCAAAACTGATATTCATTAAGAAGCATAATAGAATGTTACCACAGGCCACAACACAGAGTAAAGGGAAGAAATCCAGTTCATCCATGCTCCATCGAAAAATATTAGTCCAATTATCCAAACCCCTGAATTTGTCGCGTAAAATTTTATAGAAGAACCTTTAAACTGGCAATAGAAAATTACTCATGCAGGAATAGCACATATGAGATCCAGGCAGAGAACCTTGATCAATTGAGCATGACATTGGGGGGAAAAACAGTAAAAACGTAGATGGAGGAACAAGGAAAACTGATGACCCAGGAGAGATGAATGAATAACGAAAATAAATTCGAAGAAAGCGAACATCAAAAGGTACCTTTTCTCCGTGTTTTTATAATCAATTGGACAAGATAACCGCAAGGATCAAAGAAGTTCCAATGACCGTGAAAGAAACAGGAAGATCGTTGCGGGATTCGCACTAGCGAGGCGCGCGCCCAAGAGGAATGTAACTGTAGCATGCAAGACTAGCTGACTAGGGACCGAATATTTAGGCAAAATATGGAAAAGAAAATACACCGTGTCCCTGTGCAAAGTGTTTTTAACCGTATACCGCGTGCTAATAAAAATTTATCATTTAATTGAATTCATATAAAAATGTAATAATTTTTTAATTTTATTTATAATAATATCATAATTAATATTATAATAATGGTAGGTAAAACAGATCATTTATGATCTATTTTATTTTTTAAAATAAAGATAAAATTATTTAATTACTCCAAAATATTATTGTCACCCCTTATTTTAAAGATAAAATAATATTTTAAAAAATATCCCTTTCATTTAAAAATATAATATATTTTTAACCGAATCTCACTTCCAATAAAGTAGTTACTTACTTTTAAACTAAACCTATCTTTTTATATTTATACTTATTGAACACCTTATAATAAATGTAAAGTCATTCATCAATAAGGATATTTTTAAAATAAAAAGATAATGATTACACCTTAAAAGATTAAAAATATCTTATATTTTTAAAATTTAATTTTTAAAAATTATTTTATATTTTTAAATAAAAAGAGTGTAATGAGATTGTATCATGTTTTTTTCCCGCCAACACATGGGAGCGTTGGACTATTGGGGTGTAAATATCCTCCAATTCTTACCATAAATCATTTTCAGGAATTAAAAAAATAATATTAATTCATTAAATATATCTTAAAATAAAAAAAAATACTATTTCAATTTTTTCCTATTAGAGAAAAAAAAGAATAGTATAAAAAAACTAAATTAATTTTTTAATAATTTGTTGCGGGATAAAATTAAAAAAGGATTTTTTTTTTTGGCGATTGAAGGTCAATAGCCCAATTACATAATTAAGGGAAAACAAAATTAAAAACAACTTCAAAAGGCTAATATATAATATTAAATCAAAAAAGTAGAGTCTCCGTAAGCAAGTGTCCACTTGGCATTTGCCAATGGTACTAATGAAAAAGAATTTTATGAGTTGTCTAAAAGTTATTTAGGAATATGTGAACAACTTTCAACGGTGATCCCTTTGAAAACAAGGGCTCGAGAAAAAATTTTGGCCAACAAGCAAGATGAGAAAGCCACTGCATGAATCCTCCTCATTCAAGGGTATTGAATTTAACCAATCAGAACGGAGACAAAGAAGATCAGCTTGCTTTGCACAAGAGGGTTTCCCACGTGTCTAGGTTAGTAGAGCAAATTGCTGTGCTTTTCTTAAAATCAGAGTGTCTAATAATACCTTCAAACTATTTGCTCTCCTTTTCGAGCACAAGAGGCACCAATTTGAGGAGGCACAATATCAAAAATAAAAAATGAAGAAATCTATAATATTAAAAATAATTAAAATTTATAATAAAATTTGAGTAAAGTATAGAGATTTAAAATTATATTTTTCATTATTGTTTTATACTTATTTCATATTAGAACACGATTTTATATTTTTTTTCATTTTTATTGACTTATATTTTATATTGATAAAATATTTGTATAAAATAAGTTGTCTGCTTATATTTGTAAATTCTAACATTAGTTTAATCATATATTTTTTTAAAAAAATTGTAATTTAATTTTAAAATTTTTAAAAAAAGGGGGGGGGGGTTGCAAGTTGGCCCATGACATTTTCCCAACCCGCCTGAAAAACAAGCTGATTTTGGTCCCCCCGCGTCAAATCAAAGCATGCCATGGGCCAACCAGGTACCACCTCTACTGGATGCGCTTTATTATTTATAACGTAACTGCCAGTCTGCCACATGAATCCTCACCAATTATCGACAACTGTCACATAAAGCTTTCGACCCAAAAAAACTGACACATAGATCTACTTTTAATTACGTGAGATAATAAAAATTGAAGTTGATTATTACACAAATATATACTATAAAATAATTTTTAACCATTCATATAATTTATAAAACCAACAAACAAAATAAACTTTGTTATAAAGATATAAACGATAAAACATGACAAGACAAAAAATAGGAGAAAAAAATAATGGAGGACAATTTCTTATTCATTTAGGGTACATATAATTTTAAATGTTATTAGCTAATTAATTAATTAAAAATATCTTTAATTTTGAAGGGAGAGATATTTGGTAAGTCAGGACAAATTTAAAAGTGAAATTAAGATTGCAAATAGTAATTGATGATTAAATTTATGATAAAGAATAAGATATTGAAGGGGAACATGTGCTGCTGTGACGTTGAGCTGGTGCTGCATGTACACATGCGAAAGTGAAAGAGAACGCACCATTTGATCTGCTAATTGTTTACATTAATAGAAATCACAAGACGTCCGAAGCTACATAAATTATTTAATACTTAGAAGAATCCAATACATTTCTCAAAATTTAATAACAACCGTAAGTATCAAATGAAAATCAAGGACTGCGTTGCCACGCAGATACGCAGATGGAAACAAATATCAAGTTCCAAAGTCTTATAAATTTCTCGTAACAATTTGACTTGAGACAATATAATCATAACACAATATAAATTATTATTAACTAATTTCTATTTTTTTAAAAAATTTGATTAAAATATTGATGTTTTAAAAAATTTTGCATCTTTCTAACTAACTATGTTCTTGAATATAATAAATATAATATTTAATTTATTTAAAGCACTATCCTTGATTACTTAATAAAGCAGTGGTGTAATTGAAAAAAAAATAACATTCATATAATATTCTATATTTGAATCAAGTAAAACTTCTAAAAAATAAAGTTAAAGTATAGTTTTACTCCTCTAATTTTATATAAGATTTTAATTTAACCTTTTAATTTTATAAAGTATATTTTTATTTCTTTAATCTTAACACTGATAATTTTAAATAATTATTTTTTGCACCACTTATTGTTATTTAAAAAAATAAACTCAATAAATCAATATTTGATAATATTTTATTAATATTTAAAAGTTTAATTTACAAATTTTTCGTGATAAAACTAACGGTGGTAGGATTAAATAATTGAAAATAGACTTTATAAAATTAAGAGATAAAAATAAAATATTATATAAAGTTAAAAGATTAAAAATATATTTTAATTAAAAAATAATTTATATGAGTACTGCTAATTTATTTCCAATATCAATGTACATGCAGTATTAAACATTTTGCTACTTTTAGTTGCACATTCTGTCACGTTAATTTGTTTCAAAAGCTCGGGCGATCTTTTCCATTTTTCCTTATACTGCTAATTTTATCATTCCAAAGCTAAGCTTTATTTTCCATGATCTAAAACATAGAATATTTTTCAGACAAAAAAAAAATAGAACATTTTTAACTATATAAAAATTAAGAAAAGGAATTAAAAATGGTTTGCATATTAAAAGATCATAAATGAGCAAATTATTCCTTAAATTTTAAGTAGAACTAACAATTAGGGTCAGCCTTTGAAGGATCGAGCCTGAAAAGCCTGAAATTACTTTAGGGCTCCTGATTTTCAAAAGCCGGCCTTGCTGGCCTGAGTCATAATATTTTTTTATTTTTTAATTTAAAAGCATAATAAATATACTTATAATTTAAAAAAAGATATTACATATAAAATTAAGTCTAAAAAATAAATTTAAGTAAATCTATAACAAATCTATAAAGTTTAAATATTCAAATTCAATATCATAGCAACGTTATTAAAATTGTGCACCGATTACAGGTATAAACAATAGGTTTAATATTATTTGAAAGAAGAGAACTTTGATATTTTTTTCAAAACATGTGAACTAATACTAAAAATTGATTCACTAGCCATAATAGTGATTAAATTATTAAGACAATTTGCAGTCATTCTTGAAAAAATTAGAATCGATATTGATTGTTCTTTCACCAATTCAATATCTAATTCTTTCAAATCATGAGACGTGATATTGATTTACCCAAATAATCCTTTAGTTCAGACTTGTCCATAAAAAAATCACACATACTTGTATAATTGTCTTGATAATCCTACATTATAAATTGTAAAGGATTAAAGAAATATCACTTAAATACTAATAAAATAAAATAAGATTAAAAAATAAAAAATTTAATTGACAAAGTATTTAAAATATATAAAAAATGCATCATCAAAGGTGATTTTGTTGTTGATAAAAGACCTAAAGTATGATAAATATTTGATTTTTTTAACTTTTACTTGAATTTTTTTTAATAATCAGGCCTAAAGGGTCAAGGGCCGGCTTTTCTTTAAGTGCAAAATTCATTTATACCCTCTAATTGAATGGCCCAGCCATTGTTTTAGGATTTAAATGTGCTGGCCCGAGGAGCTCAGCTCGTTTTGCTAACTATAACTTTAAGTCTAATAGTATCATTGGCTATATTGTGCACATTATTCTTTTAACTTCTAAAAACGGTATAATATGATTTCTGCCACTAACAAAAGTTAACTTTGACTATTAATTGATTAGAAAATAATTTTAAAAATTACAAAAAAATCCAAAAAAATTTAGTCATTTCCTTTTATTTTTTAAGTTATCGTTTGTAATTTTTGGGTCATCTATGTAATTTTTTTAATTATTTTCTATAATTTTAATTATTTTCTATTATTTTTTAATTAACAAGTGGTTAAAATTTGCTTTTGTTAATAACATGAACCATTTTGTACCTTTTTAAAAAGTTAAAAGAATAATTTGTACAGTAAATAAATTTAAGGTCTATGTTACTATTTGATATAAAATTCAGAGATAATTTGTCCATTTACTCTATATTAAATGTGAAAAAAATTATCACTGTTTTCAAAATTACTCAAAAATTAAATTTAATCTATCTTAATTACCTTTACTTTCTTTCTTATATAATCTATCTTTACAATAGAATTAATAAGGACATTTGTGAGAGAAAAAAAAAGAAATTAATGCTATTTATTTTTTATAAAGTACCTTATATTTTGGAGTAATGTTAAATTGGTAGAAAATATCTTCTTAATTTTGACCGGTTTTCTTGGTCATTTAAGATTAAAATCCTTAAGTATTGGCTAGGTAGGCCCCTTCATTTGTAGATTCAATTTCAATCTTTCT